ACTTTTTGATAATAGATATACGGTTTACAGAAGGGATAGGGAGAGTTCTGGATTTCATAACAACAAAAAGGAGGGTGGAGGCATAATAGTCGCCGTAAATAATAAACTAAAAGCGAAAAGAATGTTGTCCTGGGAGAGTAAATGTGAGGACTTGTGGCTAAATTTGGAGGTATCATCTTCTAGGTCAGTGCATCATATAGCATTGTGTGCCGTTTATTTGCCACCCCCGGTTAGTCGCAGTGTACTTGAACATTTTGTAGACAACTGTAATTCAATTTCTGAAAATAAGCTCTCGATGATTATTGTAGGTGACTTTAATCTAAGAAACATTAATTGGCAAATGGTTCACAATAACTGCAAAAGTTATGTGGCACCTGGTTTGGCTAGAAACCTGGTTGACTTTGTAAATTTACATAAATTTTCCCAATTAAACAACATCACTAACAATAAGGATGATATTTTGGATTTGGTTTTAGCGGATATTCAGATGTGCACAGTTTCTAAATCAACTAATGTCCTCAGCAAAATTGACAAACAGCATCCCCCTTTAGATATAGTACTTTCTCTAACTATAGATAAAAAGCTTCCGTATAATATTAACACAAAAAAATTTAACTTTTACAAAGCTGACTATGACTCAATCAAAGATCACTTATCAAAGCTACACTGGTCTGAAACTTTTAGACATCTAAAGATGTAAATGAAATGGTTAAGGTCTTCTACGATGTTTTATGGGAAGCCATACGTAAATTTGTGCCTTATAAATGTTTTAGAAAGAAAGGACGTTACCCACCATGGTTTGACCGTAATTTAATTCGTAGGCTAAAGGAAAAGAATAATCTTTTATGGCGTTTTAAGTTATACGGAAACCCGCGCGACAGATTGGAACTTGAAATTGTAAGTAAGCGTTGTGAAGCTTTGGCTATTGACAGGTATAACTTTTACATTAAGAAATTGGAAAAGGATCTTATTTCTAACCCAAAACTCTTCTGGACATTCGTTAAAAGTAAGCGTGGGGGAAAAGGGTCCTACCCTGCAACAATGAGTGACGAGATCGTTACTACATCTGATGGTCCTACTATATGTGGTATGTTTGCCAAGAACTTTTCATTAGCGTATAATGATAATAACTGTCGCAGTAACAACGTGTGTGAACGTCATCATCACTCCTCGTTAAATGCTATTAATAATTACTACCAGACTGTTGTTGTACCGGTGATTACAGAGAAAATGCTCCTGAGTAAACTACAATGGTTGGATCGATCTAAAGGGGCTGGGCCAGACGGCATTCCACCGTTTTTCATAGCGTTGTATGTTAGTCATGTTAGTCAGCCCGCTGTGTTACATATATAATATATCATTACGCACTGGTATATTTCCTAAGCAATGGAAAGAAGCTAAAGTGGTACCGATATACAAATCTGATGATGAATTTTTAGTTAGCAATTATAGACCTATCTCGATCTTGTCTACATTCGCAAAGATCTTTGAGGCTGTAGTATGTCCCTCAATTCAAAATCACCTTAAGCTTTACATTAAAGAAAACCAGCATGGATTTGTTGAATCCAGGTCAACATGCACAAATCTAACAAGCTTTGTCGAGAATCTGGCTCAAGCCTTCGACCGTAAACAACAGATCGATGTCCTGTATACTGATTTTAGCAAAGCTTTTGACAAAGTGCCTCATGACATTCTGCTCAATAAACTAGCATGTTATGGGTTTGCTGGTTCGTTTTTAACATGGTTTTCATCATATCTAGAGGATCGGGCTTTTTACGTTGTGGTCAACGGCTTTCGATCTGATAATATTAGTATAACCTCAGGTGTGCCACAAGGATCACATCTTGGCCCTATCCTTTTTAACTTTTTTTATTAACGACATCCCATACTACTTAACTAACTCTTGTGTTTTTATGTATGCCGATGACCTGAAATTTTTAAGACATATAAATTCAATAGAAGACTCAATATTATTACAAAGGGATCTGAAAAATCTTATTGATTGGTGCAGAGACAACCGAATGGCACTAAATCCGAAAAAATGTCAACACGTCAAATTTACCAGAAAAGTAAACCTTATTTCATTTAGTTATAAAATAGATGAGTATATTATTCAAGACGTCGAGGTTATAAAAGATTTAGGGGTTACTTTTGACAGAAAGCTGACATTTATACCTCATTATGAAAACATCGTTAAAAAAGCCTCAAGACTGCTTGGGTTCGTCATACGAAATAGCAAAGGATTCAGCATTAATACTAAGAAAATGCTGTATAATACTCTCGTTCGTAGCACACTCGAGTACTGCTCTGTTGTCTGGCGTCCACACTTTGCGGTTCACAATCTACGCATTGAGCGTATTCAGAAGCGGTTTCTGTGGCATTTGGCAATCGTGCCAAATGCCACAGAAACCGCTTTAGTTAGTAAAGCAAAGAGAGATTTCTCATATGCGGATAGACTAAAATTTTTCAAAATGTTATCCTTAGATAAACGTAGGGAGCTAACAGAGTTATTGTTTTTGTATAAAATTCTCAACAATAGAATTAGTTGCCCTCAGATACTGAACTCATTTGATTTTAGCGCGCCTTCAAGATATCCGCGTCATCCGATAACACCACTGAGACCACCAACCCGCAGAACCGTTCTCGGCTCCAACTCTCCATTACCCAGACTGTGTAAGCTGCTAAATAGCTACAAACACAGAGTTGACGTAAACTTTGATTCCGCTTATAATTTCCGTAAAAAGATTGTCGATAGTATGACTAGTACTTAATTTTGTGCAACCAGCTTGTGTTCTCTTTTACCGTACGGATAAACAATGTTTTTTTTTTCCTTTTAAAATTGTTAACTTTATTTAGTAAAATCAAAACCCACTTAAGTTATTGTTATATTGCATGCTGTGTTTACTAGTAAGTAGTCACAACACTTAGCTTAAGAAACTTTTCTGTTATTTAAGATTGTATTGTGTTAGTTGACTGTTAGTAAACCATACGAATAAAATAAAATAAATAAAATAAAAGTTACCGAACAAATCACATTGGCAGACACCTATGACGATTTCAAGGTCATGGCAGACAGGTTGAAAATTACAATTTTTTATTAATAATATACGTTATTTCAATAAAGCTGCAATTTATATATATTGTTGATAATATTATTTGACATGTATAATTTTCACGGCAGACATATATTGTGGTTGTATCACCCAGGCAGACAACAAACTTCTGGGGCGTCCATAAGCGCGTACTTTATTAGCGCTCGCTCTAATCCAGTCTTTTTCTTTATAGTTTTATGCGCTCTAATATGGATATCATAATAATAATTCATGGTCATATGCAACATTTAAAAAATAGCTCTTCTCAAGTATGAATTCTCACGGGAACAGGAAATAATGAACGATTCATAAATATTTCAAAAATTTATGGCAATGTGGTGATTTATTGTGTGAAAACTTGCTTGGTTTCTATTATTTCTTGGTTACGGGCTGTGATTATAATCCAGCTCTTTTTAATAAGGGAAAAAAACGACCCTTTACCTTACTATAGAAAACTCTGGCATATCAAGAAACCTCCGCAGCTTTTCGTGACAGTAAACAACAGCTTTTTAATGTTGTTCAAAAGTTTAACTGTCAAATATACACTTAGAGGCACAATTAACCGCCCACCCTTTTAAAGTGGCAAATTTTGATGTCATCGCAGTTGTAAGTTATTGGGCATAAATAAGTCAAGTGTGAAAGAAATGTAGTGACGAAAAAATTACAAGCTACCCACTTAACTTTGTTTTTTACGCATAAGTTGTGAATAGGACAAATATCGAACTTCGTCTCATTATCGTTATCGTTGCCATACTGCTTACATTGCTTCCGTGGCATTAAAAGTAAACAATTTGAGTTTGTTTTGGTTTCGTAACTTAAAGCTAGTGTTTGGACATCACAAACATGCCATTTGATGCTAATTCAGTGGCGAGAGCCGTCGCTCTTATCGACGAAGGGTTTAGTCAGCGTTACGTGGCGCGGAAGCTTGGTGTCGCACGTACCACCTTAAGGGATGCAGTGAAACGGTTTCGGGAAACTGGCTCTTATGAGCGAAGACCAGAACAGGGCCGAAAAAGATGCACCTCCGCTCGTGACGACCGATTTCTTGTGACCAATGTTCTAAGAAATCGGTTCACTACAGCTGTTGAGGCACGAGACCAACTTCGTGAGGTTCGCAATGTTCAAGTGAGTGAAAGAACAGTGAGAAGAAGACTAGGAAAGAATGCCCTTGGAGCTTTTCGACCATCTCGAGTGCCACAATTGCTCGTAGGCCACCGGAGAGAAAGACTTCGTTTTTCCCGAGAGCACGCCGAATGGAATATGGAACAATGGAAGAATGTTATGTTTACTGACGAGACAAGAATATACTTGCACGGTCCTGACGGTCGCCAGCGTGTATACAGACGCACGAATGAAAGGTTTGCACCATGTACTGTTGTGGAAACAGTAGGTTACCAAGGTGGCTCTATCATGATATGGGGCGGCATTACTTACGAAGCACGCACCGACTTGGTTATCTTCGAAAGAGGTGGAATAAATGCTCAGCCCGGCTAGCATGGGGTGGGGACAAAAATTTTATCCCCCGATTATATCCACTGACAAGAGATAAAATTATCTTGTCCCTAAGCCAAAGCACGGCAACGAGGGAAAGGAGAAGTATATCCCCGTTTGACATAACGAGTAGACATATATCCCCCGTCCGTAGCATGGGGCCAAATGAAGGATAAAAAATTATGCTTTTTTGACATTTGAAAGGGACAATTTTATCCTTGTTCATTGGACGTGGGTTTAAGTTTATTTGTAGTTGTATTTAAGTTTATTCATACTAAAAAGATGTCTCGAGCCTACTTCAGCATCATTTTCGCGTCAGCAATTGAATAACAAGAAAGGAAATTACATCGGCGATCGATACGTGATCAGAGTAATCCGTTTGAATTCCCCGACAACGAATTTATACGCCTTTTTCGGATGCATAAAGAATGTGTTGTATATTTGTGTGAAGAACTCAATGAAGCTTTAAAGCCTATTAATGCTGTGGATGGGCTACCAGTGCATATAAAAGTAAGCATCTATTACAATCACCTCGTGGAAACATATCGTATATTTACAATCAATACATGTGGCTAACTTCTAGGTACTCTCTCTGTTTCTTTTTCTAGGTACTCACATCTATCAGACTCTTGGCAGACGGTAGTTACCAGAGAGGTATGGGTCAAGACCATGGAATGGCTGTTGCTCAAACAACAGTTAGCAAATACCTGGCTCAAGTTACTGGAGCTATCGTTAGAATGTAAGCGACTATATACTTTAATTAGCCTCTTTTGTAGGTAAATAGAATAGGTTCAGTGCATATACTTACTTACTTCCATTTTAATTTTAGACTAATGTCAAAATGGATATCGTTTCCGGGAGTAGAACAAGCAAGGAAAAATGTAGCCACAGGATTCCTTGCGAAGCATGATTTACCAGATATTCTTGGAGCTATTGACTGCACCCATGTTGATATATTTCCCCCACCATTCCCGACTGGGGTTCAGTACAAAAACAGAAAAGGGCGGACTACAATAAATGTTCAACTGGTAAGGATAAACAAGTTCTAGTTTTTCACAAACCTTAATAATCAAGTTTTTTTTAATAAAGAATATTAGTGTTATATTCATGACTAATATTTCTCAGAAAAAAGTACAACAATAGTCTTATTGTTGTCTTTGTTGTCCCGGTTTTAGATCCTGCAACCTTTCGGATTGCAGAAACCCATTAACCATTGCACTATTAAGACTATAACTAAATGTTACAGGTTGTGGATGTTGAGTGCCGCATCATTAACATCAATGCACGTTATCCAGGGCGAGTCCACGATCAGTTTATATTTAACAACTCAAAAGTTAAATTGGAAATGAAACGTCTGTATGAAAGTAGAATTGGTCAATACTATCTTTTAGGTATAATATATTAAATTAAATTTTCAAACTTATAAAGTTACAATTCAAAACTTTGAATTAAGAAATATTATGTTATCTAATTCTTTAGCAAATCTTGTTACCATCTAAAGGCTAATCTGCATAATATTAGGAATAAAAAAAACACAAGACATTATCATATAATTGTTTATTCTGTTTTATTACATTATTAATTTTTTCCATCATTAATACTTTGTTTTTTTATTCTTTATTTTTCATGTTCAATTGTTCTTAAAATTTAAATCTTTGTGAAAATCTGAAAAGACAATAACAAGCATTAATTGACACCTATATTATAATACAACATTAAAAGAAACAAATGTTTTACAGGGGACTCGGGCTATGCCTTAGAGCCTTGGCTGATGACTCCAGATTTGGAAGCTGCACCAAATAGTTCAGCAGAAAAATATAACAAATGGCATTGCCAAGTGAGAAACTGTAGTGGAAAGAACAAATGGGTATCTCAAAGGCACATTCCGGAGCCTAGGCATTGACAGGGTACTCCACTACAGTCCAGAGAAGGCTTCACAATTAATATATGCTTGTGCAACACTATACAATATCATGCTACATTATAGGTGTGTTATTATATCATCACACAGATAATTATTATTAGAATGTTTCTTTACTTTTGATGAACATTATTAATTTAATTTGTATATTGCAGAATTCCAATGGAACAACCAATGGACAACTTAGATGCAACAAGTGAAGAGAGCAATCCTCTCATCACATCTGTGTATCAAACGAGGCTGTTGACAATTGCCCGACAAAAAAGACAAAGATTAATAAATACATACTTTAACTAAAATTTATTTGTATGATTACCTTTTCATTCTTTTGAGTTTATTCTGTGTACGAAGCAATTGATTTTGTTCGGATAATAGGTTGTTGCGCTCTTTGAGCCTTTCATCTATACTCTGAAAGATAAGGTCTAATTTATATTGACTGTAGCAATACAATATTGCTTGCAATATTAAATATTAATATTAATCTGGAAGGGAATTATAGCATTCATACAATTAGTAATGAAATAAAAAACAATTGTTACTTGTAAATATGCGTTATTTTCTTGTTGGAGGCGAATGAATGCATCATGCGATCGCTCCTTCTTATTTTGGGCTGTGGGATAGCTAGTGGAAGGGGCTGGATGGCTTGTGGAAGGGGTTGGATGGCTTGTGGAAGGGGCTGGATGGCTTGTGGAAGGGGCTGGATGGCTGGTGGAAGGGGCTGGTGGAATATTTTCAAACTAGTCTGCAAAGTAGGTGGGTACTGGTAGTGTTAGTAAATTTAATTGTGTATCCACGTGCTCCACCACCAACACTTCATTGGTATCCTGTTATAAAATTAGAAACATAAGCTTCACATGCTTTCAAAGACAAAGTTACACAAGACAATATATTGTAACTAAATAAGTACACACATTTGCCTGGCCTATTGAAGACTCTGCAGGCCCAATACCAGTAGAAGACTCAAACCCAATTATGTTTAACACTTTTGTGCTCACTTCGGACACAGTCGGTACTATTAATGAATTTCCCGTAGTACTGTGTTCACGAGCTGCCGCTGCATTTTCTGTACGCGCACCCTTTTTTAAATCTTTCCAAGTCTGCAAATAAAAGAATATTTAAATACCTACTACTTTCTCGCCGTCAAAATTAGTGTATATAATTTTAATTTTGTGTACATACATACAATATAGAATTTACCATGAAAATGTAATATGTTACATACTAACCTGTTTCCACTGATCAATTGTTCTGTCTGGCCCATACTCTTTTAGCATTTCCTTGAGAATTTGCCACTGGGAGTCTGCCCTTTTAGCTCCTAAGGGCCCTGTGAACTCTCCAGTGGAAAGGTGGTTGTGAGTCGACATAAAGTCGACCAACATATTAATTTGTGTTTTGTTACTTTTTGATCTGAATGAAAAAAAAAAGAATTGTTAAATAATTAGCGATAAATATAGACGAACAGGTTATAAAATAGTATCAATTATTTGCAAACAGAAAGATTTGTAAAGAAAATTAAATTACATTTCGCTTTCTTAAAACAATAGTTACTTGACAACATTTTATGTGATAGTGTACTTACTTTTTGGCGTTCACTTTAATATATTTACCTCTCCGTTTTAATTTTATTTTACGAAAGCGAAAATTGCGCTATAATTCTTATTATAGGTGAGTTTGTGATTTTGTGAACATTTGTGTCAAAATCACGAGCACAGATATAAATAATTATTTTGTGACTTAGAGTAAACATCAATTTTGAAGTATTTTTTAGTTTTCTTATAATGGCAATAGTTGCGGGGATAAGTCTTATCTCCATTTTATCTACCGTGGATATTATATCCACCGGTGTGCCCATGCTCGAAGGGTGGATAAAACTAAGCGAGGGGATAAATATTTTGTCCTTTCCCCGGGGATAAATTGTCTCCTGCCATGCTAGCTAGGCAGAGGTATGTAACAGAAGTATTGGAACCTCATGTAATGCCATTTGCTCCATTTATTGGCGAAGATTTTTTATTAATGCAGGACAACGCTCGCCCCCACGTTGCTAGAGTTGTTACCGCGTACCTGGATACCGTCGGCATTCGAAAATTAACATGGCCATCCCGGAGCCCAGATTTAAATCCTATTGAACACATATGGGACAATTTAAAAAGACGTGTTCGAAGCCGCATACCAGCTCCAACCACCATAGATGAATTAAAACAATCCGAGGAGTGGCAGAACATTCCACAACAGCAGATCAAAGATGTCATCGACAGCATGCCAAACCGTTTGATGGAAGTCATGAGGGCTAGAGGTAGAAATATGCACTATTAGAATTGATTTATTCAGCAGATTTTTTATTTTTAAGCCATTTCATCACATTTGTTAATTTACGGTCAAAGTGTTTTTTATAATTAAAAACAATATTATCTTTCATTTTACTTCAATATACCTACGTTATAAAATAACATTCACAAGTAAGGCCACAATTTTTTTTTAACCAAAATCGTTAAATATCAAGGTGGGCGGTTAATTGTGCCGCTGAGTTTATAATGCAAAGAAATCAGCTTTATTGAAATAACGTAAATTATTTCTATTTCTTTCAACCTGTCTGCCACGACCTTGAAACCGTCATAGGTGTCTGCCAATGTTATTTTTCGATAACTTTTATAAAATACTTCAAGATGTCAAACCGGCAGTCTTATTGCTATCACGTTTTTTTTTTGGTCATTTTTTTACACCTTTAACACCTGATTGTCTCCATACCGACAGCCGGTCAAACTAAAGAGACCCAGAATCATGTACCTCAGGTATAGGGGATTAACTGAAAAAAAAAAGTGAAGCTTATTGAAATACCGTAAGTCTGCCGCTCACTGGCTCTTAAGCTGTTGAAACTGTTTGTCTACGAACATCAGTATTTAGTTCCTTTATGTTATTAAATACTCTATTATGAAAAATAGTTATAGTCTAGTATAAAGTAAAAAGTATATATGAGTGGTATATATTATATGAGTAGTTTGGGTGGACATCAAAAAGATGTTTTATTAGCAGAACATGTCTTCAGAAGCAAAGTATGCAAAATGATGAATTTATAAATCGTTTCTGAGAGCTAAACTTTATATATTTATAAAAAAACTGGCCGAGTGCGTATCGGGCCACGCACAATGTAGAGGTACGGTCCCGTAGTTGCCCGTCACAATACGTGGGCCTCCTTGATAATGAGCATAATAAGTGAGGTCGTGGTTTGACCGCTATAAGGACTAAAAATGAGCCCAAATAGGAAGATCGTAACTGAAGGATTTATTTTCAAATCAGCCTCATAGGGAGTGGTATTCAAAAAAGAAAAAACGTTTCGATTTTAATAATAATACACTATTTATCCCGCAAATGAAAAAGTAATGCTAATAGTAGTAATGCATATAAGTTGTTTTCTTCATAAAATGTTTATTTTTAAGTTTACAAACATAGACATTACAATGTTATTAATGCAGCTATTTTAAGGTCATTTTCTATGGAGTTGTAAAGAAATTTTTACTAATCCAATTTCTTTTTATAATTTGGTCGACTATCACTCGTTAACTTATTAATTCTACTTAGCTTTTATAGTGTTCCTTTTATTTTCATTACATATACTACTATAGTGTAAACTTTTTACATTTCCAAAAACAGCAGTTTAGTTGGTAAAGGGGACATGACTCTTACGAAAAATACCACTTTAAAGCTAAATATTTAGCAAACGGACCCCTGAATCGAAAAGATGTTGTTCCTCATATCAATGTTTTTGAGAGACCTATCCAACGATACCCCATTTGATAGTATAGACGGGTGAAAAAATATCCTCCATTTTTTTGTATGGGAAGTACCCAATATAAAAATTATTTTTAAGATTTTATTTCACAGTTTTCTAGTCGGGATTAATACCTATAGCTATGCCGAATTACAAATTTGTAGCATCTAGGGTTTCTGAGGAAAATCGCGGATAGACGAAAAGCAGCGCCTGTGGGTCTGCTGTCAGATTACATCGGTGACGTCAGGTTACATCTACACACTTTCACACACCACTTTACATCCACTTACTTACCACCTGACTTTGCCTCGTGGTCGACCCTACCTCCGGAACTCGGTAAGTTGTGTTTGCTTATCAGCCATTAGTTAATAATTATCCATAGGCCATTTGGGCCCGAACCTTCTGGTTGCCCGTCGAGTGAGCTACTGATGGGCCCTAGCCCAGTCGACTTCTCTCGGGGCAACTGAGGGCCGAAACAGATATATTTAAGATATATTTTAAATTTAAATCAAATGCCCAAGTTCACAATTATATTTATTAGAGCTTCCTCATACGGCCCACAGTGAAAGAAAACGTTTTAGTTCCATAGTGCATCCCTGGCAACACGAATTGGTTGTACTCTCTAGTTTTCAAGTTTTGAGGTATACCCGACGAGAAGATATAACGCTGCCCGGCCGAGTTGAATCAGTCAATTGACCTCTCGGTCAAAGTTGGATTTACCTAATCGGACTATTTCTCCCAGGTAAACATACTCGTCAACAACTTCGAGCTTAGTGCTTAGTGCCCAACAAATACTGGCATAGGTGTGACATGAACATTAAACATGATCTTTGTTTTGTGCATGTACATCTTACGATTACGATTACTTTCCTTTGGGAGACGCTACTGAGGACATTGAACATAGTGCTTAGGTCCTCCAGCGATTCTGCCATAAACTACTCGTATATCGTCAGCAAATCAAAGGTGAGTGATGTACTCGCCATTGATGTTAATACTGTATCCTTTCCATTCCAGTAGCTTTAAACGGTCTTCCATTGCAGCGGTGATGAGTTTCGGAGATATAACGTCACCCTGTCTTACACACCTCTGCAGTTGGATAGGTTTCGTACTCTGGCTCTGTACTCGAATTGCCATCGTAGCCCTACTGTACAAACACTTCAGCATTTCGATATACTGAAAGTCAACATTGCATTGCTGAAGCGAGTGTAGTACCGTCCAAATTTCGACGGAATAAAAAGCTTTCTCATAATCCACATACGCAAGTTAAAGTAGCAGATTGTACTCTTTGGTCTTATGTAAAATTTGCCAAAGGGCATTTATGTGATCCATGGTACTAAATACTTTTCTAAAACCGGATGTTCAGGAGGCTGGAAGTCGTCGAGTCTGCATGTGAGGAAATCGGTCCGTAGATCTTCAAGAGAGCGTTGTCACCTTTCTTGGAGAATAAGACCACCACACTTCGGATCCACGTCTCCGGTGTAGTGCCACCATAGAGGACGGAATGATAAGCATCTAAACTTCGTCAAGTACTGGTTTTCCACCCACTTTCCAAAGCTCTACTGTAATTCCGTCCTAAGCCTGGGACTTTTTTATGGTGCTGGAGAGCTATTCTAATCTCGCTCAGACTGACGTTCAGAATATCATCAGAATAGTGTCAGTGTCACACTCCGACGACGATGTGTACATCTGCCCATAGAATCTTTCAATCTCACTCAAAATTTCAGAAATCCCGGAAACGATGCTGCCGCACTCTGGAGTTACGTAATTTCCGCCGCATGCATTTGTAGATCTGTCTCTTGAGTTGTCTATATACTGTCCAATCTGTTGAAGAATGTAGCTTCATTTCCCGTCTAATAGCCATGAGATTCAGAGTGTGATAGGAAATTTTTTGTGTTCTTCTCTGGGGTTTTTAAGAAGTTAGCTCTGACCGCATGGACAGTATTTATTATTCATATCTGCACCTGCATTTAAATCTTCTATACACTAAAAACGGTTTTGTAACTCGAGCTGAGTTTTCGAAACTTTGGATTAAAGCACGAGGGGAACGGATCATTGACTTCATTAAACAAGCTCTCTCCAACTTAACGTTTATATTTGGTGTTCTTCTAACCATTCGGTGATCGCTACAATTTTTCACACATGCGATAACTGAGACATAATTGAACAGTTCATCATCATCATCATCATCATTAAAGCCCTTCACAAGTCCACTGCTGAACATAGACCTCCCCCAAGGAATGCCGTAAAGCACGGTCCTGAGCCACCTGCATCCATCAACTTCCTGCATATCTCACCAGGTCGTCACTACATCTAGTGGTGGGTCGCCCTAAACTTCGCCTACCCGTATGAGGCTGCCACTCGAGAACCTTTCTTCCCCATCGGTTGTCGGTTCTTCGAGCTATATGGCCAGCCCACTGCCACTTCAGCTTATTAGTTCGTGGGACTATGTCAGTTACTCTGATTCTTCCACGGATATCCTCATTTCTAAGTTTATCACGCAGAGAAACCCCGAGCATAACTCTCTCCATAGCTCGCTGAGCGACTTTGAGCTTCCTCATACGACCAGCAATGAAGGACCACGTCTCAGATCCGTTAGTCATCACTGGCAACACACTCTGGTTGTACAATTTCTTTTTCAGGTTTTGAGGTATGTCTAACGAGAGAATGTGTCGTAGTTTCCCGAAAGCTGCCCAGCCGACTTGAATCCGTCGATTGACTTCTCGGTTGAAGTTGAACTTACCTAGTCGCACTATTTGGCCCAGGTAAATATACTCATCAACAACTTCGAGCTTAGTGTCCACAACAACAACCGGCATAGGTGTGACATGGAACATATAACATGGAACATACACTGAACAGTTATTGCTGTCTTATCGTCATATTTTGTCGAACCATTGGGACTCTACCAGGTCAACTTCCTGTGGAACTCCTTCTGGAAGAAAGAGTTCATCATAAATAATCCCTATTTTGCCATGAAGTCGGCCAGCTGCTGGCCCCTTGGGTTCCGTAGGCCTATTCCGAATTTCCCTACTTTCAGCTCATCGTTCTTTCTTGTACCTATATTTGGGTTGAAGTCGCCCATTGACACCGTTTAGTGGGTTTTCGAGGAATGCATGGCTTTAGAGACATCCCCATACATTTTCTCCACCTTCTCATCTGGGTGTGCCGATGTAGCTGCGTAAGCTGTATGATCTTCAACGAATAACGTTTGGTGATTCTGAGTATAAAGTATGCAACCGTCTTCGACAAACTCACATTCTTTACTTCGTAGTGAACGAGAGACTTGAGGACGATAAATCCGACATCTCTTTAAAACAGATGGTCGTCCTCCTTGTGATGAACGAGGATTTCCGTGTTCTCCCCCAATTCGCTAGGTCGACACGTCTTTAGTGGCAACTGAACCCCCACCGGAAATTCTTAGCATCCCCTGTCCATTTCCATGATCGCCACCATAGCCAAGAATAGCGGGATCACCGGAGACTGGGGCCGTTTCTTCATAACTTTCATTATGGGGGGATTTGCCATAGTTGTCACGCTTGGCGAGCGG